TTCTTATTTACCACCCTATTTTTTTATTAACTTATCATTCTTTGCCTCAATATTTTTCATATATATATATATATCGTTTTAATAGCTATAACGTTTTTACCATTCCGCTTTATTATATCCCTCAAATAGTCGAAACGTGCATACTCCTTGGCATGATATCACATTACCAGTTTTTACACATTATAAGCCTTTATCGTTTGCGCTTTTTCGGTATGACTATATTTATGGATTTTGACATTTGCTTAGTAATAACCAATTTTTATGCTTATCTGGTCGTCCTCATCTATATTTAAATTTTAAAAAGGAGTTGATAGAATCGTTTATCTATATGGGATAAAGGAATCCTACCGTGCATATACTTGGCTAAGAGATTCATGACTTGAAGCGTAACTGCAGGGATCCTTCATTGTGGCCTTTATGCATGGTCACAAACAATATTGTGCTGAAAGGCTGTCTTGCCTATCGGAGTGATATAGGCTTGTTCTTCATAGTGCTGCCCCTTTAACGTTGGATAAATCGGTTTCAACATGAGTTTTTAGCATTAAGATCTAATCGGTTGGACTCGATTTTACTTCCTTAAAGCCCCATATAACTTTCAAAGCTCTATGTATTTCGTATTTCATCTATAATTTTTATAAGTTTAATTCTCTGGCTATCACTTGGTGAGCTGGATCATTTCGAGTCCAACTTAGGCATAGCTTTATAGAATGATGATACCGAAATTAGAATGTGAACTTCGCATTATTACTATGACTGAAAAGGTCACAAATGTTCCAAAATCAGTAGTTGGAACCTCTGAGAATATGCTCTTTTTTCATTTTATTTTAAACTGCATTAAAGTAGAACCATTTTTAGATATTCTTGTTGGGAAGTCTATAGCAAAAGGCAGATTTCGTGGCTTTAGAGATTCATCTGCATATTGATGCTGAAGTTTTGAACTGCGCGTGTATTGCGTATTCTGGTTTTTTTTACTTAATTATTTTAAGACTTAATGAGGAGCAATTTTTAGGGAGTTTTAATGTTTTGCTTCTTCCTGAAAGCATCTGATTCACATCTTTATACGTTATATTTCTTATTTGCATAATTGAGTCATTGCGCTCAGCGTCAATGTACATGGGGCAAGGTTTTTTTACTCTATGATGGCTTTATCTTCTCGAGTTGATGTCATGCTATTCAGTAATCCTGTTTTTGTCAGCCATTTGCTTATTTCTTCTTATGACCTTTGGCTTTATTGTTCGCTTCTTTTCTTAGCTAATAATCCATTTAAAGATATATCTGCCTAGTTCATCAAAAGTATTTCCTCTTTTATCTTATTTTCCGAGTTCCTTGATCATGTAGATCGCATACATCTGCATGCTTTTACAATTTGTAGTTATCTTTTGTTTGTGACATTTAAAAGAGGAATGATTATTTAAAATTCGTTATTAGACTCGTGTGCAACTTCTTTTTATACTCGGCCTCACTTTCATTGTTGAATCCAATTCCAACTGCTTAATCTTTATTCACCTATTCCTTTCAATTTCCTCAGGTGATTGCCAAGCGTCTAATTGAGTCAAAGGCTACTATTCCACATTACTATTTGACCGTCGACATTCTCCTGGATGAAGTTATCAATCTTAGAGATTATGTAAACAAGTTGCTTGTAGAGAAGGTAGCAAAAGGAGAGAAACCCGATCAGATCAGTATAAATGATATTCTCATTAAAGCCGCCTCTATTGCCTGCCGTCGTGTGCCTGAGTGCAACTCATCTTGGCAGGGTGAATTTATTAGACAGTAAGTGCATTTCTTTTATTTAAATATCACGCTTGCTTCTGGATATATATTTGGACAATTTTATTCGTATTGACTTTCTTTAACTCCTTGGCTCAACTTTGAAAGGATTGCCACTATTATTATTGCTTGTTAAAACCCTCGTCTTGTATTTATTGATCTTCCTCACTGAAGATAATATCGTTTTAGTCATAAATTTTATTTTCCTTTACTGCATGACTCTTCAGAGGAAACGATCATTCTGGAGCCATTTTCTTACTTGCATTTAGTTGCTACTTTAGCTTTGCCAATACATTAGACGAAATTTAGAGGGAAACGTCGTTTTTTAGTTATCGACTCAAGAAGTGTTATGGATACGAAGAGTAACTGACTTTCGATGAATCTACTGAGAAAACATTGTTCATATGAAAGTGCATGCAGAAGAGATTCGAAGTTCGATATCATCAGAATACGACTGATTCGTTTTGTAGTGCAGTCGTTTCGCTTTAATACGACATTTAATTTAGGGTAGTTCACAGGATATCCTCCTTCGTTTCGAGTGAAAGTAGGTTGAGCTTTCATCCATCTTATGATGGACATCATCAGAACTGAAACTCATCGTTGACTTCAAAATTCCAACTTTAGTTTGTTACTATGGTTGGAAATAAAAATCGGAAAAGACAGTCGAACTTGCGGTGGGATCTTGCTTAGCTCCCATCCTGGCAAACAGCTATATGGTCAAACTTGAGGAACACTTTTTTTGGAAGTATAATACTAATTCCTAAATTGTTGCTTGCATACATGGATGACTATTTTGTCGTCT